AAAATTTTACACTGATATTTAAAAAGTCCGGAATTTCTTTAAAATCAAAGTGGGGTGTTACATTTACAGTCTTTGATCCAGAAGAGGATCCAACAAGAAGCACCGGCTTATCCTTTTTAATCGTGGATTTAGCCGTCTTTAACATGTTTACTAACTCTGGGAGAGAAGTCTCCATGTTATGCATGTTAAAGTTAACGGCAAAGCTGTCAAATGACGGTGGCAGAGATTGCAGCAAAAGGTCCACATAGAGTTCATTATCCATAATGACTCCAAGGGATGAAAGCCTTTCAATAAGAGCTATCATCTTCAGCCCATGATCATGAACTGAAGAGCCCGCAGTCATATGACACCTGAAAAGCTCCTTAGATATCTGATATCTAATTTGCCGAGTCCTTTCACCGTACAACTCTTGTAGGTGAAGCAAGATATTAGTTGCATTATCCAATAATTCATTCTGTCTCTGTAACTCATTTGACATTGATGCTAACATGTAGCACCGAGCTTGGAGATTGTCACCAATATGACGTAAATATTCTCTATACTCATCAGAAGTCTGATCCTCGGGTGGAGGAGGAGTGGCTTTGTCCAGTACATAGTCCCTCTTCTCAGACTGTAGAACAATTTTAAGGTTCCTCAGCCAGTCGTTAAAGTTGGGTCCAGGTAACTTGTTATGTTCTAGGATACTTGCAATTGGATTCTTAGTCATTTTAGTAGAGTGATCTACAAAACAAACGAAGCATAAAATAATCAGACTATGGAATTCATATTCATTTAACATTAGATCTTTAATATTAAATGTCTCCCACTATTTTAATTAAAACCCCATTTTAATTATGAAAATCTAATTTTTATAGTGGGCTTAAAGTCCAATAGAATTATTTCATATCCCAATTTTATGAGTACTCATGAAACAATTTTATCGGTAGTCAACTTTTGACAATTGTATCACTATACAACCTTCAAGTTGTTTTCCCTCACCTTTCCTTATATACCACAATTTTATGACCGTATATATGACTCAGTGTCAAATCAAACTCATCAAACATTCATGATAACGGCCCACCAGAATGTCCCACGACTCATGGTCAACACAAAGAGGAATCCGTTTGACGAGTATCACTATACTTAGTAGGGATCACAATTTTCGACACAAAACCACCCCACGACTCATGGTCGGTGATAAAGCGTCGTAGCATCTCATGTCGTCTACTTTTGATGGAAGGCCTAGATTAATAAGTTCCAATTTATTTTTATCCATTACTGATTTGATATAGATTTAATCAAATTAATTCTTTAGGGTTCCTAAGATCTCATTGATTACCATCTTTACGTTTATTTACCGTATTATTCATCGCATGAATCATAAGCATAAATAAACCTAACATATATCTAATGCATGCATACGGTGGGATGTTCATGTCCTTGCCTATACGACCCATTCGAGCCAAAATGGGTCTATGCCTATGTACGTGACAAAATAAATAAATAGAACTACTTCTATTACAATTCATTTTATTTACCCGTACAAGCACAGGCCTTCGAAATTTACAACTTGTAAAATTACCCACACATACGTAGGCCT